GCTTCCAGGCTCAAGTGCTCCTGTCTCGGCCTCCCAGGCAGCTGGGAGAGAGAAAGGACCTCGCTCTGCTGCCCAGGCTGGTTTTGAACTCTTGGCCTCAAGAGATCCTCCCACCTTGGCCTCTCAAAGTGTTAGGATTTTAAGTGTGAATCACCAACCCTGGCCAAAAAGAAAAAAAGTTTTTTAATCGCAATTTCTATATAGTGGGGTAAAGGGTTCCATATGTGTGTATGTGGCCAGAATCATTCTGACTTACAAATGTGTTTTTCTACTACAGACAAGACTTAATTTTACATTTTTATTATTTCTTTTAAAATTTAGGGCATAAGAAAAAAAATAATGCTTATTTTCTTATTTTGTGTGTTACTAATTTAGCCCCCTCTATAGAATTGTCACGAAAGAAAGGAACAAAAAGACACTCTTCAAAGAACTAAAAATACATTAGTCTGACTTTATTTTTCATTGTTCTAAATAGTATTTATGTACTTTTAGAAAGCAGACAACCTTAGCAGGCTGGCCCGATTAGATTAGGTCAACCACAGAGAGAGATTAATCCAGACACAGCCCCCACAGGCTGGTGCTGTGGGCTTTATTTCTACGAGCTTTGAAAATAAGTAGTTGACTCCATCAGGAGAGAGAATGTGTCTCCTCAAGACATTTTCTCCTGTGAGCTGACTTGGGGCTGACTGCAGCTTCCCCAGCAGGTGGACCCCACCAGATGCTGAGTGAGGCACAGGAGAGCCCCAACATCCCCGGGCCCTGCCTCCCGGGGCGTCCTGCCCGAGGTCATCAGTGTGAGCTTGTTTGGGGGGAATGGTGAGGGACAGACCCTCGGCTGACTCCAGATGTGTAACCCTCACCCCACCCAGCAGGAGCACATTATGGCCACTCTGACCCCACAGAACAACACTGTCTGCCTGGAGCTCCTCCCTGAGGAGCCAGGGCAGAGCTGCAGTTAGGGTGCCCCCACCCCGCCCCGGTTTGCAGAGCGTACCATCGTGAAGAGAGTGTCCTGTTCTTAATGGCTTAGTATGATTTAAGTATTTATTTAATTTTCATAATATTTCTTACTGAAAGAGAGAGAATGAGATGGTGGAGTGTAGAGGGCTCCATGTGACTGTCTGTGTGATTGATGGAGGGGCAGCCCAGCTTCAGTCAGTACATACAATTGTCCCCATTTCTGCTGCTGTTTCAAGAGTGGTTTTGTAAAAGGGACGGGATAGCACAGTAGTGGGCTTTATGCCTGCCAAGGACAGGTGAGAGGCACACCTGAGCAAGCTGTCGGTTGTCCCATTAGTGTGTGCTAATGCAGAAGGCTGTGATTTTTACGATTATGGATTTTAATGCAGAAATGTCGGATCCTTTTTGATGGCCGTGTGTACATCTCCTGACCCCCACACGCATGTGATCAGTGGTGATTCTCACACCAGTGAATTACAGAGAGCGCCAGGGGTACATGGGAGTGCCGGGGGGGCAAGTTTCAGAGATCTCCTTGATGTCTCATCTGCAAAAGTGGCAAAACCTCGGCTATTCCCCCAGGAGAGTGGCCTGCTATGAAATAAGACACCAAAGGTTGCCAGTGCTTCTGGGGTTTTTGTTTGTTTTTTCAATTTTGCCTGAATTGTCCATGTCATCCTCAACTTCAACACTGTTTTAAAACCGCTTATTACAATTTTTCCTTCACCATTTTTAAAAATCTATGCAAGATCAGTTTTCTCAGATAGTAATATGCACTCCCCAAAATTATATACTTCCTCTTAATCGTGATTGATCTCAGGCAAACACATGACCAGAGATAAAGCAAGATCAGGAATATTTTTGT